ATATATTGGTGCCTGATATATTGATGCCTGTTGGTTTTGATGCATGCCTCTACTTTTGCGTTTGTGTTTGAACATGACAAAAGAGTGCTGGCAAACTGAGAGAAACACTAAAACTTATGTTGCAGGGGCGTACAAAGGCAAGTGCTGGTACTGGTACTTCATTATGATCTTGCCAACATTGTGAACCTATTGAGGCATTACAGCACGTAATTAATCCATCGCATGCCAGTACATCAGCAATGCATTTTGGCAGTAGGGGTTGGTGTGTGCAGCTTATTGAGGGACATGCTCAGTATAGGCTCACATTATTTGGCTTTGCAAAATTGTCTTTCCCTAAATAATTTTGAAAATATAGTTATATTGCTACCGATGCACAGTGTAGTGTCTTCACAAATCTTGTATGCAGGCGAGCATTGCTTCTGAGTAATCAATGCCATAGTCACTGCAACTTGTGTGGGATGCGGGGTGCTGAGAGGTGGAAAAGTGTTGCTGTTGGTGTCTTGGACAGCACTTATAATATGTGTATCATGAGCCTTGCATGCACTGGCAGCTTCATCACTTCCTCGCATTTTGCCCATGTAGCCATAACTACATGCACTTGTCACGTCTCCAGCCTTGTGCAAGGTCAGCATGTTTGCTGGGTCCTCACATGTGTAATGTGTGAGTGTTCTCCACATGTAAAATGTTCCTGTTATTTTTTAGTAAAGCAGCCTGATGGCTGCAGCATGTTGCATGCCCATGGAAGTGAAAGATGTGTTTGCATCTTTCTCACCTGCGTTTTCTGGATTCCCGAAGCAGGCTGAGCAAGTGACGCCACTTATTGGTTGTCTGCTTTACTGAAAGTGATTTGTATATTGCATCATGTGTTTTTGGTCAGTCCTATATCAGACGGGAAGTCAATACGAGAGCCCATGCTTGACCCATATGTTCATGTTGGAATTTATTATGAAAACGGCATGGATTGCAGTCGAAATACCATATTGTTGTCCATTTTGTCATGCCGCAGAACAGCACCGAGGTAGTGCCAAAATGAAGCTATTGACCAATGCCATTACAAAATGTACCGCATTGGTTGAGTACTCTTTGTCAAGATTATGAGATAGCAGGTTATAATTTATGACCGACTGGTCAAAATTTATTTAACAATGCCAAAGGACTGTCTACGTCAAGAATGTTGCTGCACTACAGTGGTTTTATCAGGGTTAACTATTAATTGCATGAACAATCCTAAGCACAAAAAAAAACATTCTTGGTAGCCCAATCTTGCCATCTTTATCATAGCAATAGCAATGCCTTGACAACCAATGCATGGCAACGTTACAAATTTACTGATTTTTTATGACACTACATTTCCAGTTGCAAACAATAGAGACAATGTTACAAATTTGTTAATTTTGGCACGACACCGCATTTCCAGCAACAAACAATAGAGACAGTGACTATTGAGGACTACAGCATCGCGCGCAACGATGGGTCGACGACAAAGTATTGACAAAATCATCAACAGCAAAGCAGCAACAGCAGCAGCGCAGCATATCGTGCTTTGGTATTAATAATCTGCCATAAAAGCTGGCAATCGCCACGTTGCGCATGTCAAGCAGTCTACGGAAGCTTTTCTTACGGCCAGCACCAAGACAAAGAATCCACAGGTAACCCACCCACCAATCCGGCCCCGACACGGCCCCCGCGACGAGAATGGCCGGCTGGCGTCAGCTTTCGTATGTTTCGAGGTATTCTTTAGGTCTGGCTGGCAGATGCTGCCAGGTTTTGCTGTCGTCACAAACCCAGTTCATGACTCCATCAAACAATGGCGTGATGCGGCCCATTTTTATAAACTTGAAGATTCTGCTACTTAGCGTCGTTTTTTTAACTTTGAAAGCTAACCAACAGTCACAAGGAAGCATTTCCCATCATATCTGATGCCTAGCTCAATATCTTCAAATGTGGAACATTCCCTTTAATGAAAACTACAGGTTTTACCTAATGCGATCTTTGCAATGGCTAGGCTGTAAAGGTCATCGGTGTTCGATGGTTTCATTATTCTCCAACTGATGGTCACTATTTTCCAGCTGATGGCGAGCACGCATTCGACGCCAAATTACTTGCACAACTGTAGACCAGTTTGGGCTGTGCTGCTGATCCTTTCAGAGGCTTACGTCACACCAGTGTCGAAAATCCTGTGGCATGTTCTGTTCTAGATCACATAAGGTCAATGACCTTTATACACTTAAGCTTCCTATGACTGAAGAAACGCAAGAAATGCGTTACGCTTTAGCCTGCCCGCCTTTTCTTAACGATCTGTCCGGTTAAGCTTCCTATGACTGAAAAAACGCAAGAAATGCGTTGCGCTTTAACCTGCCCGCCTTTTCTTAACGATCTGTCTGGTTCTTCAAAAGCAGGCAGGTACCATAATAAACCAAGGACTCAACTTCACCTTGCAGGCAGGAAGACCACGACTAAAGAAGGCTGACGTCGGTAGGTTTTTTCTCGACCGGCTCCTTCCCAGGCGATGGCAGCAGCTGAGGTGTGGTCGACCAGCCGTGGGATCAGTGCTGTAACAGCCAGCGCCAGAGGCCGTCGGTTCACTGGCGTGGTCTGCCTTTAAATAGACGCTTCGGCCCGGTGTCATTCCCCAAGGGCACGGCCTCGCTTCATGTCACTGGAACAATCCTCTGATCCGCCGGTCCCTGGGAATCGGGAATGCCTCTGCGTGTGCACATGTGCCACCTGGGGAGCCTGAGAGCAAGCGTGTGGACAAGACTGTCTCGAAACGGTGCTGAAAACCTGAGACATCTGCCTTGTGCGCGCGCGTGGCAGTGTGTGTGTAGGTCACATAGTGCGCGTGTGTAACGACCAGGGTGATTGTGTGCATATCACAAGAATACCTCTGCGGGGCATGACTGTCAACATAGAAAACGGATTTATGCTGCGATCTGCTTCTGGTTTTCGTTAACGGCCTTACTAGTTACAAAGGATGCTGGCTGGTTTGATTTTATGGACTAGGTAATGTCGCGCCATTAATTACTGGTGACATGAAACCAACGGTTTTCAAATGTCACTTTCCCCAACCGGTCCTTACCCTACAAATTTGATAATGTGCGATCTAACGGCACTGTCTGTCGGTTTCGGTCCATATTTATGCTTCATGCGGTCGCCTCCTCATCTCGCTGTGGCGCAGAGCCCCAGCGTGCCATTTGAGGTCATTGAACTGAGTTGAATTCGAAATGCCACTAGCTTGACAGATGTAAGTTATTAAATGCATTTGCGGGGAGCGTAAGGCGTCTAGATAACACAGTACCAATAGCCTTAGCACTCGTAGATTCACCGGGTGAATGGGAAGATAAGTAGACTAATGATGGATAAATGGATTAATTCATTCATCTCTTCATTCTGCAAATCATTCCGAGAGGAATAAGGCTTTTATACTGATAAACTGCATGTTTAAAATTCGTTGGCTGAGGTGAAATGTTAGTTGCATTTAATCATGAGTTTGACACCGCAATTGTTCCATCGAATTGTTCGGTTGCTGCCAGACTTTAAGCGAGAGAAACGATTTCAGGGTTCGACTGTAAACAAATTAGAAGGCAAAGTGACCACCGTTTAAAATGACCTTGACGATGACCCCACGCTGACATGAAGAAAAAGCCTAATGATAAATTATAAGTAAGTTTACAAGCTGTCCAACTGACGCTGTATTTTTCACATCATCTCTCGTCAATCACGAAACGGCCACCACTCCCCGCACTCGTCAGTCAGTGGTGGCTGAGTGCCATCGGTGCGGAGGCTGTGTACCTCTCCAGCTCATTGGGGGCTGCCTCAGTCAGTGGTGGCGGAGTGCCATCGGTGCGGAGGCTGTATACCTCTCCAGCTCATTGGGGGCTGCCTCAGTCAGTGGTGGCGGAGTGCCATCGGTGCGGAGGCTGTGTACCTCTCCAGCTCATTAGGGGCTGTCTCAGTCAGTGGTGGCGGAGTGCCATCGGTGCAGAGGCTGTATAGCCTCTCCAGCTCATTGGGGACTGCCTGTCAAACATTTCTGGTCACGGCCGGGGCCAGTCTGCTGAATCCAGGGCAGTGATCTACATTGTGGTTGGATTTCGACAGCACAGATACACTTACTGCATTCAGCTCTCAACGTTTTTTTCGTGCCTGAACCCTCGATGTGAATAAAATCGCTGCGCCTGATTTTTGGCTAGTACTCTATAATATGTTTTTGGCTCAGCGCACGTGGTGTGTAGCGGTGCATTGGGGACATCGCCTTCTACTCAGCGCCTACCAATGAATGCGGTCTGGACGGTTGCCGTCTTGACTCAGACATGATTCGGCTTTGATCGCAGTCTCTCCCCCCCCCCCTCCTCAAAATCTTTATGTTCCTCTCGGGCTTAATTTCTCCCGTTTCGGAATGCCTGCTGTGGGCAATCATATTTCCTGACACCGAGGTGCGCTTAAGCTGTGCTGTGTGAGACTGCAGTTCCATGGGCCATGTTGAGAAGAGATCCCTTCGAGCTTTTTGCAAAGACTGATGATTCTCAAATTGAGGACACCAAATATTCTGGTCGGAGATGTGGCTGCACCACGGAGCAAATAAGCAAGGGCCGCTAGAAGAAAGCACTATGGCCATAGGGTGTTGGAACCCGCAATGCGGACCCGGGAACACGTTGTGCATATTAGGCTGCACATCAACTGTTGTTAGCACAGTTACAGAGCACTGCATCCGGGACAGCTGCCAAGTGGGTCATGCTAAGTTTGCCACTGTGGTGCCAGTGGGTACGGAAGTCGGTTTCACTGGCCAGTGTTCGTCCCTGAGGTGTTGCATCTGTAGCCACTGGTCACCGGAGTCACCCAGCGTTGACACGCTGTACCACCCTGTGCCACCTGTGCCACCTGTGCCAGTACAGGTGCGCGTGACAACGACGGTGTCCGCTTCCGCCGCCACGCACTGCGGCGGCCGCTGAGTGGCCCGCGGGGTCGGGGCGAGGCTCCGCTCGACCCAGGGGAGGCGGCCCGCCCCACCGGTCGGACGGCCCAAAACTAGGGCAGCTATAAAAGACGTCGCCTCCAAATGGGCTCATTTCCCGTTACAGCTGCCTCGCCGCCGGACCACTCCAGAGGTGTGTGTCTGTGTGTCTGTGTGTCTGTGTATGGGGGGGGAGCGCATGGGGGTTGCCTGGCTGGGAAAGTGTGGTAGGCGGGCCGTCCTGGCCGTTGCTTGACTCGCGATGCGCCACCACTGACGCACAGGACCGCGGCGCGCCAGGCCGCCGGCAGAGCGGCCCAGCGCTTGCGCACCGCTGCTGCTGGCTGAACTTCTGGCACGTTGACCCCTAGCCGGGCAGGCAGGCCGGTGGTCCGCCGTCGTCTGTCGTTGAGGCTGTGTGTGTTGCGTCGGCAGATGAAGGCGCGGCTAGTTCTGTTGGTGGCCCTGTTCGCGGCCGGCTGCTATGCTGAGCAGCAAGGCCAGGACAGCGTGGAGATCAATGAGGCCGGTGAGTACCAGCGCGGTCGTGTCAGGGCAGCAGACTTAACGTAAAAGCTGTGCAATTTAGCGATACTTGTGAGGACCATCGTCGTAAATTTGCGTGCCGCTCGCCGCCACAGACCGCATTATGATCAATAGAAGCGTGGCTTCTCTGTGTAACCTCCATCGAGCCAGATGGGCGTCAGAAGCGCATCTCTTTTAGCGACAGTCACGCTCTTTGTCACGCTTCTAGTCACGCTCTCTGTCTGTTGACCGACCCGTTGGACCCGATGCTGGCGTGCCGTGCTCCACCGTAAGCGACCCGCCTGGCGCCGCCCCACTGACCAGCGCCTCCGCAGACGCCGCCCAAGAGCGCCTGATCGCCCTCTACTCGACCTTCACGCTGTCGAGGATCTCGAGCACGACGACCACGGTGGCGTTCTCCTGCAACATCGTGCCGGCAGCGGCCACCGCCTGCAAGCGGCGCAGGAGGAAGCGTTCCGCCCGGCCCGCCACTGACGCCATTCAGCTGTGAGTGCAGGGCCCCCGCCGCCGCCGCCGGTCGTCACGCGGGCGACCGGTACAGGCGCGACCGGGCCGGGTCCAGGGTTGTGCTACGGTGCACAGCACAAACTGTTACAGACCACGACACGCACCGTGTACCCACACACTGTTACAGACCTAAGTCTGGCTCAAGCTCGCGAGGCGCGTGTGTCAGTCGATGTTTGATGTTCACGTCTCCTAGAGAGCGCGGCGCCACGGCTCGTCATGTCAACAGTAGTCGTGTAGCACGTGCCTGTAGAAAATTTTGTTAACTAATGAGGTCACAGCAAGTCTTCGGACATTTCATGTGGGCCTTTTTGTGCTGGAGGCCTACGCCGTGACTCAGGGTCGGAACAGGGCAGCGGATGAGCCTTCCATAAACTGAAAGCCGTTTCATTTCATGCGTAAAAGCACAGAGAACGTCACGTCACAGGAGTGGCGGCCGTGAAAACGCTAACGAACAGGTCGCAGTGCGCTGTCACCGGAGGCTGACGTGTCTGCCGTCATGTTGCAGGGCTTCCCCGGAGATGGCGGCACCCGAGCTGAGCTCATCCCTCGACCGCAGCCAGCGGGACACATCCGAGGCCTCCGGCAGGCTCTTCTTCACCATCTGGACCACATCCTTCACGACGCTCACCACCACGTTCATGTCAACCAACTTCTCGACCACAGTGTCGTACACGCTGCTATGCACGGCACCTGGCCAGAGCCTGCTGCCCCTCTGCTGAGGCCCGCAGTGGTTCGCCGAAACTCGCCTCCGACACACGCTGAGCTTGTTGTTATTGTTTCTCACGTTGTTACGCGCAAGCAATATGACCAAGGACTGTTTCTGTTACCGCATGCTGTAAATATGAGCATTTACCAAAATGAAGAAAAATACAGGGACGTGAATCGAGAGCCGGACTGTGTATAAAAGCGCTCGGGGGATTGTGTGAGAAAGCCGCGGCGCACTTGTTTGCTTCTCTTCGGATTATTTAGCTTGGCACGCGCCAATAACTTCCACTAAACGATGAGGTACATCATCGCCGAAGAGCTCATGCACTGGGGCTGACGGGGAGATTGTTGGCTGGGGTTGTTTTGATAGTCCAGCGCATGCGTCCACTCCATAGCCCGTCGGGGCGTTCAGACGATACTTAACGCAAGATGAGGCAAGTGAGTAGGTTCTATCCTCCTGTCGTCTAATCCCAGGGTTTGGCCGGTCTCAGTCTTCATCCACACTCGGGCCGTCCGATCCCTGAGTCTACCACACGTGGCTCGTGCACACTCGGGCCGTCCCCGAGCCTGACGCTCGCGCCTCGTGCACACTCGGGCCGTCCCCGAGCCTGCCACTCGTGCCACGTCCACACTCGGGCCGTCCGATCCCCGAGCCTACCACACGTGGCTCGTGCACACTCGGGCCGTCCCCGAGCCTGCCACACGTGCGCCGTCCACACTCGGGCCGTCCGATCCTCGAGCCTCGCCACTCGTGCCTCGTCCGGCATCTTCGTATCATCAAAACCATGGATTCATTGGATCTACGACCAACGAGTGTGCTTGTACTTTGTAAAGGACGACCACAAGGTAGACGCTCAAAAACAACTGAGATTCATTTGTTTTCCATGTAACACAAACATTGATTTGTCTTTGACATTTCTGTCAATAACAATGCTTGCCACGAAAAGTACATATTGCTATTCTGACGACCGTTACTGGATATAGGCCCACCAGCCCATACACTTCGCACCTTATCTAAACGCTGGCTACAACTGCGGTCGAACTATCATCAGTGAAGTTGTATGCATGATGCACAGGTCAGCAGAAATGATCGTGTTTGTTGTGATGCACATGTTGGTACTATCTTCATATTTTCCTCATAATTTCTGCCTATTTTTGCTTGCCCCTGCACGTGAAGAGCTATGAATGCCCAGCTCATAATGAAATGCAGCACAGGTAATGCTAGAGGCTTGAAACGTCTATGCATGAACGTTATATTACAGTACAAAAAGCGATGAAAACATCAGTCACGGTGCAGGAAAACTGATCAGATGGGGTACAACTAAGATGACATTGAAATTTAACCCATATACCTTTTCCAGGCAAAAGGTTTCTCAGCATCATTTTAGGCCAGTGAGCTTCTCCTACCTTTAGCCACTAACAAACACCAAAAAGATTTCGAGATAATTTTGATGTTTTACTTTGCAGTGAAGATCAACAACTATCGTAGGGGGCAAGTTTTTGAGAAAAAGAAAGAAGTTGTTTTTTGGTTAGCAGCCTCTTCTGGCGTTCATAACGTTAATACAATGATCCCTAAAAGATGATGCCTAAAAGAGGATTAAAGACACCTTTCATCGTTTTCTGATCATTTAATTGGAAATAAACGTCAATAATCACCCCATAAAATAATTTTTTTTAGCCAAAGGTATCCCTGTTTGTGACCTTGACCTGACCTTCATAGGCAACCAAAAATCAATGGAATTAGTTCTTATCATTTGCAATAATTGGAATGTTTTAGAAGTCATGCCAAAAAGGCTCGGCCTAAAGCGTCTTTCTCGTGTCAGCTTGAAAGATTTCCTTGTGTTCGCAGACAAACACGGGTTTCCTGATTGGCTAAAGGTCAGTGACCTTAAAGGTGTAACTGATTTATTGCCCTTAAGATCGGTTGATCATTGCTTACGGTACGAAAGTGTGCCTTCGCCACGCTGCACACGCGGGAAGTTATTCTGGCAACAAAGCCTTGGGGACGGGCGTTCTGACACCCAGCCCGAGCGCGCTTAAAAGTGGGTATTTCTTATGCAGTCGTACCTGACTAATCAGCAACACCGTTTCAACCAGGGTGCGTATAGATGGCGCTAGTTTTCACCGAAACGACCAGATTTACTTAGGACATGGCAGCTTATGCATCTCAACAGTACGGTGTGGGCATTAATTCAGAAACCGGCAAAAAAGATGGAGCTTGGGCGAAATCTATCCCAGTTCGGCGAGAAGGTTATGCATAGGGTAGTAACTATTCGTCCATACATTAAAATGGCGTATTCGGGCTTCGAAAATGTAGGGCATGTTTTGTTAAAGGTGTAAACAGCTTGACTGCATCCTTCGAGAGCCAAAATTACCCATAACAGGTAGGTGGCCATGAATGAGACAGCCTTCAACCTGTACCCCGGGCACACGTGCGACCTGAATGAACTGCCGGGTTTGAGTCAACGAGATAGTCAGCTCGCAACATGGTATCATCGTGACTTTACCGCTTGTCATAACCCTCTGTGATCCCCGCTAGCATACTCCTGTCGTATGGGCATGTTTCCTCTACCTCTGCTGTGCTGCAGCGTGCTATCAGCAAAGCCGACGAAGCTGCGTTTGCGACCATACCGTCAGCGATCCTTGATAGTGAGTAAGCAACTCTGCTCATGGATGACGTCCCCATCATTGTAACCCCCCAGCTTCCACTGCCGACACGTCCTATCCGGTTTTTACCAACCGACTGTCTGTTCCTCAACCCCATCGGCACTTGCTTTTCCGTGCCGAAGTCTAGCGCCAACAGACAGGCACGCATTCGGGGACTGGCTGACGGTGCGGGCTCCACCCCAATAAAATAGGAGAGCTGTGACCTGGCGAAACAATGCCCTTGTCAGAAAAGTATACGAGCCACGTGGTTTGTATCCAACGACATCGGTTTCGCTAGAATGCGCCATGCTGATAGCTTTCAAGCTGGTCATTATTCGGAAAAGCAGAGCCTGGTGTGAGATGAGGAATGATAACCTCCAAGCATTCTTGCTGATGCTCTTGCTTGCGTACGTATGATGCGCTACTTTGGTGAACGCACTTTGCACTTCTTATGTGACATTGAGGCATACTTTATCAAGCTTAAGATTTTCATCAGAAAATCCATTTGTTCTGCATCGCTTAACCATGCGATACCGCAGCTAACTTATTGTTGCGAGTGACCTAATACTTTAACACATCTGACAGTGGCGGATCAGGCAGGGGTCTACAGGGACATGATGTTCCCCTGGGCCCGAAGAACATCTCGGACCATGTTTAAGTATGAAGCTCGGCAAGTAATGAAGGCAAGCTCTGTATGTCAGGGACGGATCCAGGATTTCGTCAAGATGGAGGCGCGCAACATCGTGGGGCCCCCTATAGTTAAGGCTACCTTTCCCCAAAATCCTTGCACTATAGGCATTAAATTCTAAGATTCTTGTGTATGCCATTTTTTACACGAGAACCCATCTTACTGTGCACAGCTCGAGAAAAATGGCCATGCCACGCGTGCCAATGCATGGAGGTCGTTCATTTTTTTATGGTGGATCCTGGCGGATCATGTCGCTTTGACGCTAAGTATTCGGGAGAAAACATGGCAAAATGCACTAAAATTGGCTGCTAAAGACCATTAAAATCAAGCAGAACTTTAATTCCTAGCTTATTTATGTCTACCCGGCTAGATGTAATCAGCTGATGGCTGATGCCTAATGCAGAGTTTTTGCTTTGACTGTCATGAGGGAGTACACAATATCCTTGTTTTCAAAACGCATTAAGAGCGCGATGCTCAAGAATACCAGGTGTCAAAAATTAAGTTATCAACGGGAATAACATGCACACCATCGGCGGCGGTGCGTAGCATTATGTTCGATAATTACGTGTAAACGTTCATCGGCATATAGCCGACTGCTGCTCTAAGGCTAAAGCGCTAAGAAAAATCGCCACCCGGCGATCTTGAATTTGTGTACATGACGTAAATAGTCAGACCATCATTAACGAGTAGGCAAAGCGCCCTGGCACTCGCAAGCACACGAACAACATAATCAGCTTTCAGGCAATTCGACAACAGAATAAGATCCGTCTGAACTTATCGGAAGAGCACATGATCAGTGTGAAGGGCCCTGAAACGATCAAGAGTGTCCAGACCGATTAAGTTTTAGATCCGGGGCGGTTGTGGTAGAACGGTTAGAACACTCGACTCTGGGTCTGTCAGTCAAGGGTTGGGCTCGGCCGCGCCAACACCACAGTCCGGGTGATACCTGATATAAGCACCCGTCTCAAAATGGCCCCAGCAGTCGGTGGGACGTAACACCCAAGTCATTATTACTAAGATTTAGGTCTCCGGCAGCGGTATAGGCCCTCCTTTATTAAATAGCCCAATTCTAATAAGGACGGTACCTGAGCGGTCGAGGTTGCCTCGGCAGCCCAACAAAGAGGCTCGCATCAACAGAAAAAGGTCCTCAGAACAAGCGAGAATAACCTGAGACAAACATGGTGGGGCTCTGAACGATCGGGAGTACCCCGGCAGGCCAACATATAGGGCCCGGCAAGAGCATGGGGCCTTCTGGGCAAAGGGGAACAACCCAAGGATAGTACACCTGAACCAATGTCCATTTTCGATCAAGAGTGACCGGGTAGGTCAATAGAATGGACCCCAATAGGAGTGAGGGCCCTCCGCAAAAGAGCACAAACGGAAGAGACACTAAATCAATGTAGATTTAGGGTCTGTCCCTTCCTGCACTGTACTCTGCCTGCTTGGCGGCCCCTTCTCCAGATCCTGCCCCTGCACCGTCCTCCATCTCCGATGTAGATCCTCCTCCCGCTCCTTTTTCTGAGCTGACCTTTACCTGCAGGATGGCTCCTCTTCCTGCACCATCCTCAATTTGCGTGGCAGCTCCTCCTACCGTCCCTGTTCCCGCGCTATCCTCCATTTGTGGGACGGCGCCACCTCCTGGTTCTCGTCCTACCATGTTTTCCCTCGGAAGGATGCGCCCTTATCCTGCTCCTTGTCGTGCAGCATCCTCTACCTGCGAGGCGACTTCTCCTCCTTGTCCTACCATAGCTTCTTGTTCTCGACTGTCCTTTATCTGTGGGACTCCGCTGCTCTTCCTCTGAACCGTCTTCTATCTACAGGTGCAGCTTCTCTTCCCCTTTCCCTTCCT